AAACTTGTATCTGTAGTATAATATGAATCATGCGGTTAAAATAAACATTACCTGCACAGCACCGACGAATCGTCTGCTTCTTTAAAGTGTCCCAGTGGAGTCCTTCACATGTTTTGGTTTCTGTCACTTCTCATTATCTGTTCTGGTGATTTCTTTAACTTGCAGTGCATTTGACCTCTCAGAGCCACCGTATATTTATAGTTTTTCAAATGTAATTGAATAAAATTACAGTGACACAAGTAGTAAATGGGCCCCAGTTATGTAGGGCTCTTCCTCATTTTTCTTCACTTATTCGCCACTTCTATGTCGATAAACTTAACTTAGGGTTTCCTGAGTAAACATTAAAAAAGAACAAAGAAAAGAACCATTTTCTTGTCGCTTCCAGATAGTGACACTGGTTAAACTCTATTATGAATTTCTCGTTGTTTGGCAAGCTCTGTGATTAGGGGTTTTATAAAGTGGCCATGTCTTTATGTAAATCAATACTGCAATCTCATCTGCAGTCCATTAGCTTGTATACTTAACTGCTTCTGAAGGCCACAGCTAATTTTTAAGGGCCATGACTTCCTGCTCCATTCGTGGGTTATTATTTATAAAAAAACAAACAAAAAAGTTTGAGCAAATTTAATTTCTCTTTTCCTCTAAACTCAGACTGTTCACCTACATGCAATCAAAGCCTGCAGCATGATTGATCAATAGATGACAAGCCAGAAAGCTTCCACCCCTGGCCTGCAGATGTGCAGATATCTTATTATAGAGATAACATTATCTCTTACGTGGAGCTGGGTTTCTTAATAAAACGGAACACTAAACTACTTTTACGATGATTAGGTGACTTTAAAGGCACCGACTGAAGGTCTTGACGACAGTATAATCTGGCAACGCTGGCTTCTGGGAATGCAGTGCACTGTTGTGAATGTTAACAGAATCTGAGGACAAAGATGCTTCGCAGAGATGAAGATAATAGAGCTGCTAAGGCTTTTAGAGCCCCTCCTTTTACATTACACATTTTCTGTGGTCTCAAAATGAGAGTATTGATTAGGAGGATGAAACCAAGTGAGCAGAGGCTGTGTGCGCGTAGAAGGGTGAAAAAACAATTTCTAACACGTCCTCGTGACAGACGGCGAGTAAAAGAGCCAAATTCATTGAGTTCGTAATAGAAGAACACTTTAACCTGAGCTTCACGTGTCTCACATTATGTCAAATCCTGCAGACACAAGACACAAATCAGTAAAATGAGTCCTCTGTTCTGAATATCTGCGTATCTGTCCAACCCGCTACACACACACACACACACTCTGTAAAGCAGGCGGTGTGTATTAGCTAATTAAATCAGGCTGAAAAAGCATCTGGGCTGCGGGTTGTTCTGATAACCGTGTGGACGGCTCCACTGAGAGCTCGTCATGTGGATTTCAGGAAGTTTCCCCGGAGGTCCCTCTTTTGTTGGTTGTGAATGAGGGCTGATAAGCAGGGCACCAAACATCACCCGTGGAGAATGAGGGTTTGGGTGGCGGTGTGGGGGCGCGACGGCGGTGCAAGACAAAGACTGTTAGATGTAACTGCCAAGGACATAAAGCCGCACTTCCAGTTCTGATTGATTTCTTCCCCCAAAGTCGACGATGCTCAGCCGGTTACGGCTTGTAAGGAGACTGCGTCTGTCTCTCAGTCCCTTTCTTTGTCACCGCGTCTTTGTGCATGTGTCCTCAGTCACAGTACAACATGTGCGTTTACATTTTCAAGGGCTCTTAAGATGCATCTCCGAGCTATCAGAGGCCCTGATATACCTATAACTAGTGTTCCGGTTTATCCCACTGGTGCTGGATCTGTGTGGGATAGTCAAGCAGTACGATTACATGTGCCTGTAATTTGGAAACAGCTGAAGTGGTTTCTTTTCTCCAGGTAACAGTGGATTCTCGCCAAATTTACAAGTAACTGCGTTTTTAAAAGATGGCACAAAGCTTGCAGTGCAGCTGTTTGATGGAATTGTAAGCTATAATTGTGAAGGGTGGGAAAAGTAGGTCTCTTTATTTGTTGGGGTCTCACTGTTTTGGGGAGGTTTGAAAAGGCCATGCCTAGCTTTACTAGCTTTACTACAGTGCACTGATCTGACCTTGTGTTTTCTTCTCAGGCATCTTCTATTTCAGTCTGTAGAGAGGCCTCAAGGCCAGCCTGGCTTCTTTCTCATTTGGGAAATAGTAAAGCACCTAACTGTATTGCTTTGTCTGGATAGAGAGTAAACATAGAAGAGGAAACAAAAAATTCAGAACTGAGATTCATGAGCTCGAGACACATGATCTCTTTTCTCTTTTACATCAAGTACCTTTGCTGTAATTAGTCTGATAATTTTTTAATTTGCTCCAGAATGATCATTTCTGCATGAGTGAAAAGATTTCCATACGATTGCATTCAAATCATGCCATGCAGAGTCAGACTGGCGCTAAAGCCAAGACGATCCATCAGATATTTGAATGAGAACATTAGAAGTTTATTAAATTCATGTACATTTGCATTGTGAGGAAGAGCTCATATTGAAACGCTAAGGGACATTTCCCACCAAATTATTGTCACACTATTGGAAGCGCACATTATCTAAAATATCACTATACGCTGTATCATTAATGTTTCCCTTAATGGGAACTAAAGGGCCCAGCTCGAACCAGAGGAAAAAACAATTTCTAGAAACTTTGTCAGAGAACCTTCCGGTCATACGCAGTATATTTTTGCACTAATATTGCCATCCTAGCTCTCCATTAATCAGTACGTTATCTTTAAGTGTGCTTCCTTAATGACACTAAGGATATTTGGCATTGAAAATGACCTGCATACAGTGCGTTGTAGCTATAACCTTCTTGTTTTGGCCTTCTGTTTTCTACTGTTTAAGCTTTGTGTGTCTGTTTGTGCAGGGAGAATGAGGTCCTGAAGGTCCAGCTGAAGAAATATGTGGGGGCGGTACAGATGCTGAAGAGAGAAGGAAGCCAAGGCAATGACGGTAAAATACACACACGGACACACACACACGTGTGCGCGCTCTGTCCGTGCATCATTATGAGCTGAAATTAGATTTCATATCAGCGTCCCAGTCCATCTATTTTGCTCTCAAACAGCAGCGCTCATGGATGCAAACAGCAAAAAATAAGGTCATCGGTTTTCTTTCATATGCCAGATCAGTTCTGGTGCTTTTCTCAAGGGCTCTGATGACTACCCTCTATTTTTACAGTATGAGACCCTGTCAGACGGAGAGAGCCGGTTTCCCTCTCAGTCCTGCTCACTTTCATTTATCCAGAGTTTTCGTTTTTGAAAAGATTCGGTATCTCTGACTTTGTTTTTGTGTTGCGGAGGGATGTTAGGGAGGCTTTGTGTGAAAACTAGCAAGATAAGCCTCTGTTGTGTCAAATGCAAATAAAATGAACACTGCAGATAACAGAGGGCCATATATTAGGTCAATTGCAATCTATGGGACAAAATGGGGAGTGGTTATCTCTAAAACCCAGAGGGTTCATTGGGTTTTTTGTGCTTTTGTTCGGTGCATGTTTTCCCTATTAAATTCATGTTTTATGATGTTTTTCTTAACAGTAACCCATCTAATAATGCACTACAGCGTCTACTCTACGCTATCACCAACACGAAACCTGAGCCTAGATGAATATTATCTTTATTTTGAGGAAAATTCAATTTGTATTAAAATGTGGGTCTTTTTAATTATTTATATCAGTGATAAAACATGTCAGCATCTGCACTATAAAGTCCAATGACCAGATGGACAGTTAGTTAGTTTGTCTGTGAGCAATGATGTAACCATGGGTGATAAATCAGCCGTAGTGTGCCTCAGCCTCAGTACCTTGAATAAAACATAAAAAGGCTTAACTTTGCATTATATTTAATTAACATTGAGGCTATCATATGACTTTTAAAACTGGAGGGTTAATAACTAGTTAAAGGTCGTCTGTCCTTAGCAATAATAAACTGTTTGATTCATGAATATGTTGAATCTGCCTTTTATTCTGTGAACTGTAGACACTTGAAACTGGGGAAAAAAAGGTTGGCCTTCAGACTAAAACGTGTGGCCTTCCACCAAAAGCAACACATTTCAAAGGGGCAGCTTTTACTTTGAAGGCGAACTTTGTCCTTTTGTTTGTGTCAGAGTTTCATTACAGGTTTGCAAACTCCTCCATGCAAACTATGGGCGACCATGGAAACCTGCTAGCAGCCAAAGAAATTGCAAAGAGGTTTTTGGCGCTGCACCGTATACCTCTTTGAAACCAATTTGACTTCGCATTAGCAAGGAACCACCAGCAGCCGCTCGCCATCCAGTCACAAAATAAACACTTCCACCTCGGGATCGTGGTCACAGACTGAGGCAATCATTGTATATTGCATATTTAAACTTTGGACTATACAATTTTTGTGCAAATTGGAGCAGTAAATATTCTAAAATAATTGACTTAGGTCTCTAAAATAAAATATATGAACATATTTAACAACATTATTTTCTAAGTTATATTCTCTCCGGTCCGCTCACAGTCCAAAGACATGCACTTAGTGGGGGTAGGTGTGAATGCAGGAGTGAATGTGAGTACGAATGGTTGTCTGAGTCTATGTGTTAGCCCTGTGTTGGACTGGCGACTTGTCCAGGGTGTGCCCCGCCTCTCGCCATATGACAGCTGGGATAGGCTCCAGCCCCCCGCGACCCTGATAAAGGAAGTGGAAGCGAATGGGATACACTGATATTTTTTGTGTGTTTCAACTTGCCATATTTGTTCAATCCAGCATGAAATTGAAATAAAAATGGGATTTTTTCATTTTTGTGACTAATCCCACGATAGTGTTCTACATGCTTTTGTTTACAGTAGTGTATAATTCTGCTATTTATCTTGTAGAAATTGTCATTAGTTGCCTGTTTTTAGTTAGCTTGTACTCAAATATGGGACTTTGTGGGCATGCTGGCCTTTTAGTTTTATTTTAAGTTATGAGTACTCAGGCAGATACATTTTTGATTTATTTGTTCCAAATGACAGAGCCTGTTTCATTTTTAAGGTATGAAACAGCAGCGAAACTTTTCAGGCTGCGAAACTTTTCAAGACTATCTCTGATAGTCTTTGAGATATTCATGTTCAAACATTGCCTCAGATTTCAGTGTGTGAATAAAATGCCTGAAAGTCGGTCGATAAATCACTTAAAAAAAAAAAAAAAGGATCTTGACAACTATTTGAAATATGAAGCTAAAGTTTCACAGCACTCATGTTCAGGCTTTGCACCATAAGTTTTTGATCTAATCTTCTAAATATTGGCTGATTTTGGATGGAATGACCCCTGCATGAAACTGGATTTTGTTTTTCTTATCATGCAGTTTTAATCTCAATTGCAATAAAAAAAATCTGATGGTTTTTAAAAACTTGTTTTATATTAATTACAAATAAGATGCTTCTATTCAGAAGAATTCAACTGATGATCATTGAGTCTGCGGTTGTTAAGCAGGCCTACAACAGAGTTCGGCCTACAACATCATCAGTCATGTTTAAAACATCACAACAGTTCACATTTCATCTTTCTGGTTCCTGCAATTACTGTGTTCAGCTTGTGAAACACGGCCGCCTGAGCGGCTGACACTGGAGACCATGGCGGGGAGGAACCGTACGATGAGAGATGAGTGATTTCCTCACGCGTGTGCATTATCAGGAAACAGCCCTCACCCGCTGCAGTTTCTCAATCTGCGTTTCCTCCTCACTTTGTGGCTTCCTCTTGTTTCTTTTGCACTCTTCTTGTTTTGCCGCCACTCATTACCTTACCTGCTCGTGTTGACTTTTCAGTTTCTTGTCGTTTGTACCATTTCTCTCTCCTCTCCACCCATCCACACTCCCGCGCGCTCCATTCACACCACCGTCGTCCCGACAGGCATAGTAATTCCCCCTCCGCAGCGTCTAAATGATTTCATCCTCCCTTGCCTCTGTCTTCTCCTGCTGATGCGCCTCGTTCCATCGTGCTTTGATGTCGACTACCAGAGCCTGCCGTTGTGTGTTGGGAATGAAGGAGGCAAAATAACGTGCGAGGAGTTTAAGGGGAGCAGAAAATCACGGCTGCTGGGGGGTTTCAATTGATACACAAGCACCCCCCTTTTTTTATGAGCTGTCAGCATGTTTCCCCCTGATCAGTGTGCTGCATTTTTGAAACCCCTCCTGTCTAATGATAGCAAAGCAGACTTGATCTCTCAAATGCTCCTCAGGCGCTGTCAGACCCACTGACATCCCACAAAAGATGGTTTTCCTTTCCTTCTGTTTCAGAGAAGCGATAATTGTTGTTTCCATGTGTGATGCTGTCTGTCCCTGTTTGTTTGGGGGGATATCCCCACACCACTTATACTTGGATATGAAGCAGTGCGATTTTATTACAGAGTGTTGATTGCAAATCATTTCACATGCATGAATGCTGTTTGAATATATGCATATGTTGCATAAGTGGTAGATATACTAGACATACTTGTACACAAGAGAAAAAGCTCCTGTTTTAATTGATCACTGACTTTATGTTGGGTTTACTTCCTGCTTTCATTTCATTCCCACTTTTTTGTAAGGATAGTCTGACCTTTCTCCTTGTTTTTCCCTTTGCTTCAGTGTTTTGTGGTGGAAATTTTCCTTTGGTTAGTTTTTGTCATTCTGTGGACGTTACTTGCAGGATTTGGGTCTTGATGAGGTTCACTTCTGGTTTATCCCTGGATTGTTTTAGTGTCAAGAACATGGTTTACTACTAACATTATCGGGTTCATCACCATTTGTAGTGATGCTGAACCTCTCTAATATGTGTCAGAGAGGTTGTGTTTCTGTAACAGCTCTATAAATGTATAAAAATACAGTCTAATGACCAATCACTACCATTCATTCCTGGAAGTTCTCCCAGTGAATGAACATTTGAGGTCTAAATCTATTTCTCGCGGGCGTTACGCAGGTGAGGGAAAAGAGGGGGGAAAAAAACTTTCCTTGACGAGCATCAATGAGAGATTTCGATTCTCAGCGGAGGGAGATTTACTTCTTTATTTATTTTTACTGCCAGCCTCAAACAATTTCAAACCTTTTCATTGATCTCTGGGTTAATGTACGGCAGCATAATCCTAAAATAGAGAGCACTAAAGTCTCCTACTTTTTGACCTTGAATAAAAATTCCAAGTTAAACCTTTTTACTGATTTTATAGTAAAAGGTTTTTATTTGTTCAGAACATTTTTGAAGATTACCAGCTGAAAGAATAAGTCAGATAGTGTGACAAAAGCTATAAGAATACTTCGACCTCCAGTAAACATTCATTTAATGGCCCAAACAGCTTCTAGCGCCCTGGTTTCCGGGTCTTGAATATCTCTTGTGCAGAGATGTTGCAGGTTGATGTCTTGCAGTGATTTTCAAATAATATATTTACAGTAGTGCGATTGAAAGCTAGTTTTTGCTTTGGCTTTAAGACATTTGTAAGATATGCAAAACCCCCAAATTCATTCTTTCAGTTTTAGCGTCACCCTCTTGAATCACTGTAACGTATCTGAATCTGACCTGCGTGAATATAGAGATCCAAAATGAAAGGGAAAGGGATTAGTCAGATTGGATGTGAATAGAGTCGGGGATAAAAGGACCTGCTTGAAAGTGAAGCCAACCAAACGGAGAGATGCCGCTGGCGACGGTTATGATGCCATACACAATTTAAGCTAAGGGCAAGTATATTCGGATCCTCTTAGGGTAATCTAATACCCAGACCAATACAGCGGGGCGCTACTCAACCCCATTAAACTGACCCAATTACAATCTATTTGTTTGTGGCCTTACTTGGGGAATGTGATGCATCTAGGTTACTCAGAACTGATTTGACTCGAGCATATCTAGTTTGGTTTTGAGTACATTTGTTCTGAATTTCTGTGCTACAGGCAGCAGGCAGTGCAGTGACCTGCATCGTGGAACATATCAGGATCAGAATCATTTTATTGTCATTGTGGCAAACGCACAACAAAATGCCAA